TGATTTTTTTCCTCTCTCTCCAGTGCCCAGGACATTGTAACTGCTGAATAAATATTTGTTGAAAGCAGAAGAGACAGAACAGTAGAATGGAACACTTTGAGAAAAGACTTTTTTAGATGTCTCTCTAGACCTAGTGACGCTTGTTTTATGTACAATGATAACCAGCGTGTGTTCTAAGCCCAGAGCAGAGACAGTGGGTGCAGATAATGGCATCTCAGCGAAAGTGAAGTGGAGACAGTCACTGTCTGTCTGGGAAAAGGTCAAGGCTGATTCAGGCCGTTGGGGAATGCCTAGGAGGGGCGCTGCGGAAGCCAGTGGGAAGCACTGGGCAGGCCCTGCCACAGGAGACATTTACAAATCCACGGGCCTTCCATATGGTTGAAAACAAATGTTCTCATGTTTTCGAGAAAACAAATGTTCTCTAATTTTCACTTGACGGTACAGACACCTTTGGACGGAACAATCGACTGGTGGTGGTCAAGTCTATAGAAAACAGAACGCTGGTTTTGCAAACTGGGTTTTTTTTTGTTTTGTTTTTTTTTAGCAGCAGTTCCTTTATTTCAAAGGACATCTTAAGATAGGTGTCCCTTCTAGGGAGAGAAGAGGCTCAGCCTGAAAAACAATTAAACACGTCCAAAGCAGCAGCATGAATGGTGAATCCTTCCGAATTGGAACTAACAAATCTAAGCTGCCCCACTCCTGCTCAAAATCCTTCTGTGGCTCCCCACTGCCCTCAGGACAAAGTACAAGCTTCTTACCAGGTTCTGTAGGGCCCTACATGGATAGGCCCTTGTGGGTCTTCCCCTACCCTTATAGCTTTAGTTTCCCTTGCTGAACCCCAAGCTCTGTCTCCAGTTTCCACCGCTCCCCTGAACTCCAGCTCTGGAGATCCCATACTCTTCCTGACTGCCCCCAGCCCTGGGCCTTGTCTTGGACCCCCACACTTGGCCTCCTGAGGGTCTCTCCCACCCACCCTTCTCCTCTCCCACCCCCAGCAGCTCCGACCTGGACTCTCCCACCTGGGTTACCACTCCAGCCACCTCCCTTGGCTCCCAGCCTCCACTCAACCCTTCCAGTGCCCTTCCATTGGAATGTGGCTTGTCCCTCCCCTGCTCAAAAACTCTGTGGCTCCCATGTGTTATCAGGACAAAGTCCCAGCTCCTCACCGTGGCTCTCTCACCATGCTTTACACCCCAGCCGGATTTAATATCTTTCGGTTCCTTGAATTGAAACCACACCAAACCCTCCCACAACTGCTTCTCCTGTCGAGCACACCTTTCCCTCCTCTTCGTGCTGCCCATTCCTATCAGCTGATGTACCACCTCCTCCATGAAGCCCTCCGGGCTCCCACAGTCCCCTGTGCTCCCATCCCACCCCTACCGCTCGCCCATGCTTCCCCTCCCCTCTGTGCTGTCAGTGCCTGGTGATGGGTCTGTCTCTCTCACTGGACTGGGAGCCCTAGGAGGGCAGGGCTGGGCTGTCTCAGTCACTGCTGTGTCCCCAGTACCACTGAGCACAGGAATACTCCCTGCCAGGTGCTCAGCAGCCCGTTCTTTCATCTATCATTCAACCAACATTTACTCAGTAGCTATTCTCTGACAAGCCCTGTTCTAGAAACCGGGGATACAGCACAAAACAGAAAAAAAAAAAAAATCCCTCTCAACGCTGATATTCTACTGCGGGAGCGAGAATAAATGATTGAAATACAAGGCGTGTGCCTTGGGGAAAAATAACGCAGGAGAGGGGGACCGTGGCATCACAGTTGGGAATGGCTGATGTTCCAGTTCAAAAACAACGACACGGCAAGTCTGGGGCAAAGGAGCGTTGTCACCCCTGTTTTTCAGATGAGGCGGCAGGGCTTGGGGGAGTCACCTGCTCAGGTTGCATTGGTTTGTTGGCTGGGAATTTGAACCCAGAACTCAGTTCTGTTCCAGGACAGTGCACTGTTCAACCGATTCATGAACGAAGAACAAATAAGGCGGAATCTCCCTTTATCGGCTCACGTGAGGGACCCGGCCACCCGAGGGAGGTGCGAGCCTGTGGCAGTGCAGGATGTGAGTGGGGCAAGAGGGTAGGGCTCCTTGTTCATTGAACCAGGCACTGCTCACAGCTCTTTATATGCTTAATTCTCACAATGGACTTTTTTATATCCCACTTAAGAGATAAGGGGATTAAAGACCTAGAGAGGTTAAGCTTTTGGTACAAAGGGACACAGCCAGGAAATACTAGAGCCACGATTTCAACCCAAGTTGCCTTGGGGTTCCAGGGATAGAGGCCCCGCAACAGCTGTTGTTCACCACCTGTAGCTCTGTAGATGTCCACCCACCCGCCCCAACAGCTACTGAACCCAGCGGTGGCTTTGACATCTCAAAAACTCCATCAGCATCTCCCTCCCGCTCCAAATCTTTGACGAATATTTTTTTTTTGAGATGGGGTCTTGCTATGTTGCCCAGGGTGGTCTCCAACTCCTGGGCTCAAGCGATCTTTCCACCTCGGCCTCCTAAGTAGCTGGGGAGGTGTGAGCTACGGGTGTGAGCTACTGTGCCCAGCTCTGACATGTATTTGAAGCTTTCTCCAAATATAAAGGATATGTCAGTGCAGCTTGGAGACTGTGGCTCTCCTTCCAACAAGGGCTGCCTCTTGCCGATCCATCTGGGTAGAAGTTCTGGAGTTGCTGATGCTGCTCAGGGTGATGGCTTCGTGGCACATTGCATTGTGTCCCTCCTCTGCTCCAAATCCTCTGTGGCTCCCTCCTCCCTCAGAGGAAAAGCCAGTCTTCTCCATGGCCCAGGAGTTCCTATCACAATCTGGCCCCATCACCTCTCGGACCTCGTCTCCCTCCCTCACTGACCTGCTTGCTATTCCTTAAATATTCCAAGCATCCTCCTACCTCAGGGCCTTTGCATTTGCTGTTTTCCCTGCCTAGAATGTTCTCCCCGCAGATAGCCATGTCACTCTCTCCTCTCCTTTAAGTCTTTGTTCAAATACTACCTTCTCAGAAAACTTTCCCCGACCACCCCATTTAAAACTACAACCTTGACCCTACCTTCCCTATTCCCCTTCTAACATCAAATAATCTACTTACCTGTTTGCTCATTGTCTCGTATCCCCACTAGACTATAAACCCCATAAGGCAGGGCATTTTTGTCTATTTTGTTCACTGATGTGTCCCCAATGCCTAGCACAGTGCTGGGCACACAGTACACGCTTAAGAAGTATGCACCGAAGGAATAACGTGTGTTTTTGCTCCATATTGCACATGTCGTAATTGAGGCATAGGGAGGTTAAGCCAGCTGCCCAAGGTCATGCAGCTGTTTAAGTACTAAGTGCTAGACCCAAGATTGTTCCAGCCCCCAGACGCATATCACTAACCACTTGGCTACACTGCCTCATTAGGACAAGCTGAGTGAAGAAGATACTTACGTCTCTGCCTGGGGATTCAGGACTGCCGAGGTTTACATGAAGTGTGGAGGGACCTGCCTCATCTCTCTATAGCTCCAATTCTGAAAGTCCAGGGTGGGTCGTCTGGGGCTAAGCTATTTATAGCCTCCCCCCTCCCAACCAAGCCCTCCATGACTCCCACGACCCTAGCTCAATGCTCTCATTTTTAGGGGTGGGAAATCACTCAATCCAACAAGATCAAAAGATAGGGGCTGAATATTTACAGAAGCAAGGTTCATGACGGCTGAGAGACCACCCCCTCACTGGCGGTGACGTGGCAGAGGCGAGGGCAACATGGAGATCATGGGGCGGTGTGGCTGCTGTGGCAGAGGGGTTGGTGATAATGAGGAGTGTGACAACATCACCGGAATGATGAGGGCGGCTGGGGAGAGGGGAAGCCTGACAGTGAGGAGGTGATGAAGGTGATTGGATGAGGGTGAGGGTGAGGGTGACAGGGTTAATAACAATATTAGCCAAAAACGCCATGATGAGCATGTCACAAGAATAAACTCACAGAATCTTCACATTCATCCCCGATGTGGGCGTCCCTGTGTGCGTTTTACAGATGAGGAAGCTGAGATTGGACAGGCGTGGTAAGGGGATCGAGGTTACCCAGAGGTGCAGTGGTGGAGCTGGGGTTCTGGCACGCCCTGAGTAACAGGCTCTACGACCCGTATGGCACGAGCAGGTGAGATGTGACATGTGACATGGGGAAATGACGGAGACACGGAGGGAAGAAAAACAACTGTAAAACTGGGTGGCTCCTTATGGGGAAAACTGGAAGAACGAGGCAGGGATGGTGACTGTCTGAGGAGCAAAGGTGACCTGGGAGGAACGAAGACATAAGGGATAATGACACGCGGGTTGCCCGAGAGAGATGGTAACAGTAGCTGTGCGAAGGTGACATGGGGGTATGACGGCGATTTAAAAGAAATGAGGATTTCATAAAGAAATGGCAACAAAAGAGGGGCGCAGGCGACATAAGAAGGAGACGACGACTTAAAGGGGGGGCGACTGCGACATCTAACGGCAATGAGGACTTAAGGGGAACGGAGGCGAGTTAAGGGGGTTGACGGCGACATAAGGAGGGCGATGGCTACAGAAGAGGAGTGGTGACGATCTATGTGCGATGCAACATAAGGGGAGGGATGGAGACATAAAGGGACCGAAGACGACATAAGGAGAGGGATGCACTGCAGACAGGACGACGACACAAGGAGGGAGCCGAGGCGCTGCGCCCTCAGATCACACAGTACCTGCAGTTCACGTCTCGCACTCTGGGGCAGCCTCACGCACACCTTCCAGGCTGGAACCCCCCGAACGCTCCCATCCGCGCGCAGGCGCACTCCCGCTGGACTGCAGGCCACCGGGGGCCAGGCAGGAACCTTTCTCATTGGCTGCGTTCCTCGCTAGCGCCAGGAGCAGGGAGGTGCTCGGGAGACTGGGGACTGTCACGTGACGTTTGCCTCTCCACTCTCGGTGGTGGCGGCCCGGCGGGCTAGAGCGGCCGCCCGGCTTCCGGCGGGGAGGGCGGCGCTTCCGGGGCGGGCAGCCGGGGACCAGGGAGGAGTGTCTGACAGTTGGCGCCGCCGGGAGGGAGGGCGGGCGGCGCGAGTGGGCGCGGGCCCGGTGGGCCAGGTGAGGCACGGGCCCGGGGTGGTGGGACTGGGCCGAATGCGGTGGGGATGGATGGCGTCCGGGGCTCTGGAGTTACAGTCCGAGCTCCGCTGTGCGGCTACGGACAGACGATTTGCTTCTCTGAGCCTCAGTTTCTTCTTCTGTAGAATGGGGGTCAGAATCCGACTGTAGCACCCGCTTCATGGGTTGGAGTGAGAAGTCAGCTCGTGCACGTCAGAACCCCTAGCTCAGCTCCTGCACGTGGTGCTCCCTTCGTTGCTTTACTATTATTGTTAGTATTGATGCTTGAACTTGGCGTGAAAAATTGTTGGGCTTGGAGGCCAACGGATTTCGGTTCAAGTCCCAGCTCCACCGTGCGGCAGTGGGCCGCTGCCTTCCCTTCCTTGAACCTCATGTTTCTCATCTATATAATGAAGACTAATTAGTTCCCATATCATAGGGTCGTTTTCAGGATTCTAATGAAACATGTTTAAAGCTTTTAGCTCAGGGCCTGGCACAGTAAGAGCTCATAAATTAGGACTGTAATGATAATGATTCTGAAAATCACTGGTGTAGCTGGGAATTCCCAGGAAGTAGCGGGAAGGAATGTTATGGGACCACAGGTTCTTTTGCCTGCTGTGCAGTAATCAGACCAATACACTGAGACAGCAGGGGTTGCAGCAGAGAAAGAGTTTAATAATCATTGGGCAGCCAAATGAAGAGATGGGAAGAACCCCTCAAATCCATCTCCCCAAGGAGTTCTGGGCTGGGTTTTTTTGTTTTTTGTTTTTTTGAGGCAGGGTCTCACTCTGTTGCCCAGGCTATGGTGCAGTGGCATCACTGTAGCTCACTGCAACCTCAGATGTGACCTCAAACTCCTGAGCTCAAGCAGTCCTCTTGCCTGAGCCTCCTGAGTAGCTGAGGCTACAGGTGCGCACCACCATGGCTTGCTAATTTTAAAATTTTTTGTAGAGGTGGGGTCTCACTGTGTTGCCCAGGCTGGTCTCAAACTCCTGGCCTCCAGCGATCCTTCCATCTCAGCCTCCCAAAGTGCTGGGATCACAGGGATGAGCCACTGTGCCTGGCCTGGACTGAGTTTTAGAAGAGAATTTTGGTGGGCAGGGGGCTAGGGAATTGGCATAATTAATTGGCTAGGTGAGGGTGTGTGTAAAATTACAGGGATGTAAGAACTGCATTCCTGCACTGAGTCAGTTCCTTGGCAGGGGTCACAGGACCAGCTGTCCCACTGGAATGCAGGGTCTGGAAAATATCTTAAAAACGGTCTCAGGTTGAATGTTATCTATAAGAGCAATTAAGGGAAGTTATAGAACTTTGGGACAAAAGGCTATGGATTCTTAAGCAATAAACAGAAGGGAGTGGGCCGTGGGGCAGAAGCCGCTTAATGTTTAGCTGTGCTTCTTCAAGACTTATGTCCTTGTTAAAATCCCAGCAACTTGCTTTGAGTTAATATCATGAGGATGGTTTCAGGAGGAAGCTCAGAGACAGCAGTAGGAAAAACTTAGAACTGGAGCCGGGAAAAATCGACATTCTGCCACTTACTATTTGGCCAGTTTCACTGTAGTATTAGATTTTTCTTTTTCTCGAAAACAACTGGTACATTTTCCTCCAGTCAATTAATTTGAGAAGGAAAATTTGCATTGCTATCTTAATGGAAAACTAACATTGCTGGCTGTAAGAAGAAGGAAAACTTAACCTAAAATGCAATGGAAACAACAGTCTATTAAATTATAGACAGAAATGGAAAGAGAATCGAAAAAAGAATAACTTGTACTATGTGATTCCATCTTGTCAGCTCCTACAGACCCCAACAAGTTGTCTTATACTGGGTTCCCAACTCAAACTTTGCCTATGAATGACACTAGGTCATCAACTGTCCCACCCTGTCCCTCAGCTAAGGTTTATTTGTTTTGTTTAATGCAGGAGCATTGTTCTATGCAGGCCTTTGAGTTTATTAACTCATTTAATATCTATTATAACTTTGTTGGGTACTCTTATCATTCTTATTGTACAGGTGAGGGAAGTGAGGTCAGCAAGGTTAAGCCACTTGTCCAGAGTCAGGATTAGGAAGTGGTAAAATTGGGATTTGGATCTAAGTCTTCTAAGGGCTTAGCGCACAGAGTCTGGTACATGGTAATTACCTGAATTTTGGGAACTGCCATTTTTAAAATGGCTATTATTATAATTTTCACTATTCAGAAAGTCGGTGTGTTTAAGATTGTGGAGAGAGGAAACTGAGTTCAACAGGGAATTCTGCAGTAATAGGGGGAGAATACCAATAATTAAAGGATTCTGGTGAGCATTAACTGGGATTTTGCAAAGACAGACCAGGGTGCCTGGCTTGTAGTAATCCCCTGATGAGCATTAACCATAGCTAATGGGCTGACTTGGGTTCAAGTCCTGGCTCTGCCATCACTTGCTGTATAACCTTAGTCTTGCCACTCTCATCTGTGACATGGGACTCATTTTTACTTTTTTCCTAGAGTGGTTGTTCTTGGCAGTTAGTAAACACTCAACAGGAACGACCGTATGGGCGTTGGAATCAGGGAGAACTCGTTTTTGAATCCCAGTAAGGTCAGTTGCTAGACGTGGCGTTTGGCAAGTGACTGCACCTCAGTGAGTTGGTTTTTTCATCGATTAAAATGGGGCTAATAATAGCCCTCACTCATGAGGCTGTCGTGAGGCATCAGCATGACGCTTGGCCCTGGTCCCGGTGCATAGTCAGTGCTTGTGTGTGAGAGATTGTTCTCTCTGACTTGAGACCTCTCCATGCCCTGCTCTTTGAGAGATGCTTGTTGTGTCGTCTTGGTCCAGTGGTAAAATCTGGAAGGGAAAGTGGATCTATAAGAGTGTCAAGTGCAGGGTGGAGCGATGTCTATGGTCATGTTCATCAGTAAGAGATTCAGCAGAAGCCAGAGATGGGCAAGGTGAACCCTGGCTGAGGGTAGAGGAGAGAGTTTTGCATGTGGGGACTTAGGGAAAGCTTCACAAAGCAATGGCAAAGCAACCAAGCAGAGGGAAGCAGAGCTTGCCAGAAGGACAGGAGGAGATAGGCATTCCAGGCACAGGTGACATCCTGTGTGAAAACTGGGGGGCAGACGAAGCACCTGGGTGGGGAGGGAGGGCTGGGGTGGGAAGAAAGGAGCAGAGTACTGGTGTGCACCGAGCACTGTCTCGGGTGCCTTTATCCATAGAAACTCATCTAGCGCTCACCGCAGTCCTCCAAGGTAGGTAATGTTTGTACCATCCCAATTCACAGATGGGGACAGCGAGGCTTGCCTGATGAAGTAACTTGCCAAGGCCACACAGCTAGTAAGTGGTAGAGCTGGATTTGAACCTCCAGTCTGGTTCCGGAGTTCTTACTCTTGACCGGGCTCTTGTACCATTAAATTGGGTGTGGTGTGGGGTGGGGCAGATTGTATGGGGTGGTAAACAGGTGCCGGGGCCCAGGGCCTTCGGCACCCCTTGGAGGGGGTGGAGGAGGGGTGAGGGAGAGGGGTCAGGATTGGGGGCCGGGGTGGGTAGAAAGGATCAGAGTGAGGGGAGAGGGCAGCGGAGATAGAGCAGAGGAGCTGTGCTAGGGAGAGGAGGAGGGCTAAGTGGGAAGGAAGCTTGGGCCAGGCAGTGTGGGCGAGTGGTCCTAGAGTCACACAGCATTGAACCAGCACGTGAGAATTATTTCCCTTAGTTCCCCATCAGCGCTGCTGTTAATGGAGAAAGTCTCCATTGGTGCTAATGGGTCGTTGACACCACCTTCTACCACCTGCTCATCTTTTCTAAGTGAAAACTGGTTTTTTGTTTCTTCTCTAGGGCCCCTCATGATCTGTGCCCCAGCTCCCTGACCTGTCTCCTCCTTGCTGTCCCTCAGACATGCCAGATGAGCTGGCTCAGGGCACTGGACTTGTACCTTCTGGGACACTCTTCCTCTGTAAAACTACGTGGCTCATTCCTTCCCTTCCTTTGGGTCTTTAAATGTCACTTTAGGTCTTTGCTGATCACCCTGTTGAAAATTGCAACCCCTCCCTTCCCAGGCCCTGTATGTTTTCCCCATGACACCAAAGGCTTCCTAACGTACTATACTGTTAACCGTTTTGCTTGTTTACTCTCCCGTGTCCCCTGACCCCAGCTAGAGGCTACTTTCCATGTTTTTGTTCACCTCAGACATTTTAAGTGCCTCACACAGAGTAGATTCTCAGTACAGAGTGTCTGGATGGATGAATGAATGGGTCTTGGGTAGGGGGTGTCTTTTTTCTGTCCCACTCCTGTTCTAGCTGACCTTTCGGGCCGTGTGGGAATGGAGCTGTGGACATTTGCTGTCCCTGGGCCCTGTCCCAGGCACAAATGATAGCTGTGGTGGCAGCTCTGTCTCAGGCTGACTTCCTGCCAGCTGCTCCAGGCTATTCCTGGGCAATGAGCCCCCAGCCCAGCAACGCTCCCCTGGCAGGCAGACAGACAGGCACCGGGAGAGGGACATACACTCACAGCCGGTGGCGACTCATGGGCCCTCTCCCCTCTTTCTCTCTTCCAGGCTCCAGGGAGCAGCTTCAGGGCCAAGGAGACAATGGTCTCGGTGACTATGGGTGAGTCTGTCGTCTTCTCTCCAGGGCCCCCCGTCCCCACTGCCCCTTTTTGAGGTATGGTTTTGGTGGGGGAAGATAGGGTAGGGGAGGGAAGGCCAGGTCACTGGCAGGGACAGCTGTACGCTGAGGAACGAGGGGGGCGGGGCTGGGGCCTGCTTCCTTGCTCTATCTCGCCTCCTGACTGTAGTTTAGCCGTGAAGAACTTGAATTATGAAGTCCACAGTTCTCTCATGTGGCCTGTCAGAGCCTTGGTTTTCTCACCTGTGAAGTGGAGATGGTAATACCCCCTACATCCTGGAATTAAGGAGATGATTGCATGTAAAATCTTAGGAATAGTTCTCAACAGGTGTGAACTGTTACTATCATCAGCCTTATCACCATATGCTCTTTAAACTCTGTATTTTGGGATTGCCAAAGCA